TTACTGTTGGTGGGAGTCTAAACTGGTATAAGCACTATGGAAATCAGTGTGGAGATTCCTCAAAATATTAAGAATGGAAATTCCTCTTGGCCCAGGAATTTTTGTCTAGGTACCAACCTAAAAGGGCTAAAGGCACAATACTATCCAGTGATACCTACATGCCCTGTTTACAGCAGCATCATTTATAGTAGCTAAGTCTTAGAAATAGCCTATATGGCTGCTAATTTGTTTATGATCACTAAACTGATAAAGACTTACACATAAATAAATCTGATGCTTGCAAAACAGAAAAAAACTAAAATTTGTTATTTTGGGGTTGAATCTCAAATTCATATACTGAAATCTTAACCTCGCTGCATCTGAATTTGACCTTATTTGAAAGTAGGGGGCTGGGCAGATGGCTCAGTGGAATAAGCGCTGTTCTGGCAAGCTCAAAGGCCTGAGTTCAATCCCCTGTTTCCCCTCACCCCCTCAAAAAAAAGCTAAAGGGGGAAGCAGGGTTTTACAATTAAAATAAGGGCACTAAAGTGGGTGCTAATTCAATCTGTTTGGCATCCTTATAAAAGAAAATGTGGACACACACGCATAGAGGAAAGATAATGTGATGATAAAGGGAGAATGTCATGTGTGTATGAAGACTCATATCCTTTTACGGATAAGGAGTGAATATTTTTCTCTAAGTTCAACAAAATCCTTGTGTGTAATATATCAAACTGGCATAAGAGAACTCAGAAAGTGCAAGGACGAGGGCAGACTGCTAGGAACTGCAAGGTCTGGGGATGCCTTATTGTAAATTCTCTAGATTTTCTTTATTTCCTGTACATCCCAGAGTACATAAGGTAAGACCATGGAGAATCAACATGCAACTCCCAAGAGGTGCTAACAGAAAGTTCTAAGAAAAGCCTACATACTCTAGCCAAAGGACAAGAAAGGTTTACCCTACGGGATAGAAACCTATGACATACACAACATTTGCTCTCCTCCCAATGAAGTGATCACATAAATCTATGAAGATACACAAAAGCTGATCAAAATCTTGTCTGTGGTAGCTGACAAGTGAGAGTGGCCTAGATACTATCTCTGGATATTTAAAATGAAAAGCCACATATTCTACGAGGCAGGTTAAAAGACTGTTTCCAAGCAATGGCATGGAAAGATCTTAGAAACAGTATTAAGTAAAAAAGGAAAGAAAGAGAACTGGCACATTATCCAGTTTCTCTTGATAAAACTACATGTGGACTTACTGAGCCAAACACTAACACTTTCTGATTCTCAAACTACTTCACAGCCACAGCAATCAAAACAGTATGGTTGGGCTGGGGAGATGGCTCAGTGGAATAAGCGCTTCCCTGGCAAGAGCAAGAGCCTGAGTTCAATCTCTGGTTCTGCAAAAAAAAAAGTACGGTTTACAGTATGGTTGTAGCATAAGAGACATATAAACCAAAGGAACAGGATAGAGACCCCAGAAACGAACCTTCACATGTAGAGCAGCCTCCCTTTATTCATGGTTTCACTTTCCCCATTTTTTAGTTACTCATAGTCAGCCTTGGGGCAAAAACATTAAATGAATGCCAGGCATGGTGGTGCCCACCTATAATCCCAGCACTTGGGAGGCTGAGGCAGGAGGATAACTGCAAGTTGAGGCCAGCCTGGGCTACAAAGTGAGCTCAAGGCCAGCCTGAACTGAATTATATAATATTTATCATATGGCTGTAATTGTTCTACTTACAGTCCCTAATTTGTAAGTTAAACACTATCAGAGATATGTATTAGGACTGTGACTGTATCTCAGTGAATTATCATTTGCCTAGAATGTACCATACCCTGTGTTCAATCCCCTGTACTGTAAAGCAAAAAAAAAAAGCAAAATAAACATAATATCAGTAGGGCTTTCAGACATCCACTGGAGGTCTTGGTACATATCCTCATGGACAGGTGGGAACTTGTAAATGATCAAATGTTTTTGGATTGGGGTACCTAGACTATTTAGTGGGAAAAAGATAGGTTTGTCCCTTCCCACCAAATGGATGCTGGGCAAATTGGAAATCTTTATACAAAATAGTAAAATTAGACTAAATATAAAACTTAGCTCAGGATAGACATAAGATCTAAATATAAGAGCTAAAGCTATGTAATTTTCAGAGAAAAATATAGGACAAAAGCTTCATAACACATTTGGTCAAAGACATGGAGAACAAATAAATTAGATTCATCAAAATTAGAAACTTCTGCATCAAAGGACACTCTTACAACAGTGAAAAGCATATCTGAGAAGGGTTTATTTTAGTATCTAGAACATACAAAGAATCCTACAATTACCAAACAACCCAGTTAAGAAATTGGCAAAGCACTTGAACAGACCTCTAAAGAGAATTGCATGTGCACAAGAAACACATGGGAAGATGCTCAGTATCACTCATCTCTTTTTCCCCCTCAAAAACCAATGGCAAAATTGACTTGCCAACTAGCTGTGAAGAATGAGGGAGAAAGTGGTTCTGCAGAGAGTTTGCACAGGTCAGAGGTGAAAGCACAATGAAAGGACACTCCGAGGACACAGAGCAGGCCGTGGTGAGCAGAGTCACACAGCCGCAGCATCACTAATCTTCAGGGAAATGAAAATAAAAACCACAATGTGGTATCATCTCAACTAATCAGGGTAGCCACAGAAGAAAACATCAGAAAATCTCTAGTGTTGCAGTGGATACAGAGAAACTGGAATACCTGTGCATTTTCGGTGATTAGAAATGGTTTAGGTATTACAAAAAAAAATCACAGAGGTCCCTTAAAAATTTAGAAAAAAAATTACCATATGATCTCCCAATTACACTTGTGGGTATATATCCAAAGGAACTACAAGGAAGACCTTGAAAATATATTTGCACATACATGTTCACTGCAGCATTGCTCAAAAACATTTGTGGTACATATACAAGCAATGACAAGTTATTCAGCTTCAAAAAGGGGGAAATTCTGTCACAAATTTAAGGTAGGTGACATAGATCAGGATAAAAGGACAAATACTGCATGATTTTATTTGTATGAGGTATCTAATGTTGTCAAAATCATAAAAACAGATTAGTGATGCAGTGGTTATGTGGCTTTGCTCCGGACAGCCAGTGTCCTCTGAGGGTCCTTTTATTGTGTTTTCACCTCTGACCTGTGCAAACTCTCTCAGCAGTGCCAGTTTCTCCCTCTGGAAAGCACAAGGTCCCAAATTTGAGTCCTGATATTAAAAAAAAAAAAAAAAAAAGATAAAAGGGCCAGAGATAGTTCAGTGCTGTACTGCAAGCTGTGGCAGCCCTGTCAGCCACTAAGACTGGGTGTGGTGGCACACACCTGTAATCCCAGATCTGGGGAGGTTTTTTTTTGGAACCAGGGATTGAACTCAGGCCCTTGCGCTTGCCAGGGAAGCGCTTATTCCACTGAGCCATCTCCCCGGCCCCGATCTGGGGAGATTAAAATAGGAGGATCACTACTATTCTGAGCTGCACAGTGAGACCTCATACCAAATAAAAGATTTAAAAATTTTTTAAAAACTGTGCATACTGAATAAAGTCCATAAAATTAACAGTATCATATTGATATCAATTTTCTAATTTTGGCACTGTACTTTAAGTTATTTAAGATATTTCTTCTGGGGAAGCTGGGTGAAGAGTTCATAAAACTCTATTATTTTTGAAACTTTCATAAATCTATTTTTAAATTACAAAAGTAAAACTACATGCATATTAAAAATACATATTTTACATGTCTATGTATGTTTATAAAACTACAACACTAAATACACAGCAAACTCATCAGAATGATTAAGAGAAATGAGAAAAATGAAATAAATATGCTGGAGTGTGCTGAGATATTCAGACTGGCTGTGGTGGCGCAGGCCTGTAATCCCAGTGCTTGGGAGGCTGAAAAACAGAAAGGATCACAAGTCCGATCTGTGCAGTGAGACCGTATAGGCCCTGTACTACATACATTAAAAAATTCCTTTTTAAAGAAAAAGCTTTTAGGGCCAGGTAGATAGGTCAGTAGAATAAGCACTTCCCTGGCAAGCACAAGGTCCTGAGTTCAAGCCCCAGTAACACAAAGGAAAAAAAAAAAGAACTTTTAAAACCATTATTTATTTTTACTTGATACACAAGTAAACCCTTTTGACAATTTTTTTTTTTTAATATGAACCAAGGTCATAAGAACAGATAGATCACAAGTGAATTCCTACCTATGCTACTTAATTGCTATGTGACACTGAGCAGGCCACTCTTTAGAGTCTCAGTCAGTAAACTTGAGAATAGCAGCTGGTATTCCTGTAAGCTCAAGGCCAGCCTGGGCTATACAGGCTATGCAGTGAGATCTTATCTCAACAAAACAAAGCAATACATCTCATTTTCAACACTCCTGGGAGTGTTACGTGGGAATAACCCAGATAAGGAGGTGAGAGCAATGCCGAGCACACAGCAAGCACTCAATTCACGGCAAGTAACTGCAGCAGTCATAAGCTGCAGTCACCAATGTTATCCTTGAATTGAGTAAAAATGATAAAATTTTATCTCTCCTCTCTATTTTTGGTACCAGAAACTGAACTCAGAAACCTTGCCAGGTACGTGCTGTGCTAAGCTATATGCTGCTGAGCTATAACTCTGGCCCTATCTTTCTTTCAGAAACATAAAAAAAGGTGTGAGGTCAAGAATGTGTTAAATTTTATTCTGTTTCACTTTATGTTTTTGTGTTTCTGGGGACTGAACCCAGCTCTATCACTGAGCTGTATCTTCAGCCTTTCTTATTTTTTATTTTGAGACAGGTCTTGCTAAGTTGTCCAGACTGGCCTTGGACATGCAATTACCTTCTTCAGCACCTGAGTAGCTGGGAAGGTGTGTGCTGTTATACCCAGTTGTGTTAATTTGTCCACTGTTATATCCTGCTGTAAGTATCTGTGACATAAATGAATGATTACAAGGTTTAATTTCACTGATTAGTACATTTTTACTATGGAGCTAGGTAGGTACCTTCGTCCTTCATGTTTCGATCTATCTGTGAGCCAGCATTCCTTTCTCGGAACTGTATGCCCTGCATATGTCTCTGCATAGCTTCTTGTATAACTTCAAACAATGGTTGATCCTGTGTGAGACATCATGAATGTTATTTTTGTTAAAGTTACATTCTTCCTTATCGTACCCCAAACCCCAAGATAAAGTAATGTAAAAACATACACTTCCCTTTGGATTGAGGTGGCTGGAAAACTGAGTTTCATCCATCAAATAATGCAGTATGGCATATGAATGTTTCATATCAGTGGTTTTAACTATTTAGATATTTGACATAAAGTAATTTGTACATTTGCTGATACATGAGAGTAAATCTAATTAGTTTGTATAGTTCCTGTTAGAATAATAATAAAAACCTAGCTTGTCATCTAGCACTTAAATTTTAATTTAGTGTAGCTGATCTTACTCATTTGCATACCTAGGTAATACAGATAAATTATATAAATTGTGTATAAAAGTGATGCTCTTAAATTTGGAGAACTATGGTGACTCCAAAAAACATCCTTAGTGATTGTGTAGAGAAATAATTTTCTTTACCTATATAACTAATAAATGTTACACCAGGATGATATATATATAGGAAGACATACAATTATATTTTTTAAAATAAGTGAAAATGTTCAAAAGCAAAATGTTTAGAGTCCTGTTATATTTAATTGTATTTCTTTAAAAGTCCTAAATAAAATCAAAACTTTCATAAAAATTCTGCTAGTAATTGTAAAAGTTTGAAAACATTTTAAAAATTGTTTTTGAGAAATTATGGACAAAATTAGTTAGGTGCAAAATAAATACCCACCTGATAATATGAGTTCATATTCATATAAATGAAATGTGTCAGCTGACAACAGTAGATACAAAAATCTTGGGGTCAAATTTTTTTGAGTCCTTCATGATATGAACAGCATGGAGACACATACTAGCCCTGTAATAGCCTTCAGCCTTTCTCAAAGTCATACACAAGTAAATTATAACAAAAGCAGGTCAGAAGGAGCTGAAGTGTAACCACTATACATTCCTTGTTGAGAAAAAAGAACTCAAAAATGTTTATCCATTCTCCACTGTGCATAAGATAAACTCTGAAGGCTTGAGTGGTTATCAAGCCTTCTACTCTTTCCGCTATCTCTCATTCCCCTGCAGACGACCTGAACAGAAAGCCAAATTATACTACACGGTATACCCTCGCCAGGGCTTCTATCCACTGTGCTTTATTATCTTTTCCTCTTCATTACTCCTGAAAACCTGCCTCATCTCTCTTGAAACCCTACTTACCACATAAGGCTCAATTTACGCTACTTTCAAGTTTTAGCTATTTTCTGAAGTTCTTCCTGAGACCCACCTACTAGCTCTCTCGTAGGAGATTATATAGCACTTTCCCTACATCTATTTGCAATGATTATATTTATTTATATGCCAATTTTCTACCATATTTTATGCTTTTTTTTTTTTTTTTGGTATAGGGAACTGAACTCAGGACCCTGTACTTGCCAGGTAGGCACTTATGTCACTGAACTATCTCGCTGGCTCATGCTCTTTAGGTGAGGAATAAGACTTACCTCTGCAATCTCTCACAGTCACAACACATGCTAAATAAGTGTTGATGTTTGAATAATTCTTAAGATTCATATTTTATACGTATCCTACATTAAAAACCAGAAATCATATTTTATGAAAAAATTACTTTTACCAGTGTACCAGCAGGCAAAGGAGCAGAATCATCTGTCGGATACATCCTGGAAACTGGGCACTTGAGAATATCTAGACCATTTGGGACAATGTTACAGTAATCCTGGATACACTGCAGCCACCACCACACGGCATCCCGGCAATTGTATCTGGCATAAACCCCTTCACCGAGGAGATTGGGAATGAGACCGTGCCTCAGAGTACCAGCGAATGCCAAAATAATATTCCTAAAATAAAATAAGTAAGTAGATCATTTGAAATGAAAACAAACAATTGAAGAGAAAAAATGGTGACTTTTGATGATTTTATTTTGAATACATTTTAAAACCAGTCCTTATTCCTTTTAATCAGTGCTATTTCTTTCTTAGAACTGTATGTCCTGCATATGTCTTTGCATAGCTTCTTGTATTACTTCAAATAAGGGCTGATCCCATTTGAGACACCATGGATGTTGCTTCTGTTAAAGTTAAATTCTTCCTCATAGTACCCCAAACCCCATGATAAAGTAATGTGAAAACATACACTTTCCTTTGGTTGAGGTGGCTGGAGAACTGAGTTTCATCCATAAAACATTGCAGTATGGCATATGCATATTTCATATCAGTAGTGCTTTGCAAATATATACGAAAATAAACAAAACCTGACTTCAAAAACATGTTTAAAAACGGGTCAAAGAAAGTTTATCTTTTAAGATATCATTCTAAAAAAAAAAGATATCATTCTACTAACATATATCAGATGAAAATTTGGCTTGTAAGAGGATATGGCATTCTAGAAAGAACATGAACTTACTACAAAACAAGAGGGTGAGGTCTAAATCCTAAGTGTACCATATGTATGATCATGGAAAAAGACATTTAAGACGTCCAGCCTTTAGTGATTTTTTAGCCAAACTTTTCAGAAATTTTATTAATCCTGAGTCAGTCTAATGCCCATCTCTTAAATAATTAGTAACTGTGCAGTAAGAAAATGTTTGTTTATTTATTTATTTATTTATTTATGGAACTGGGGATTGAACTCAGGCCCTTGCACTTGCCAGGCAAGCACTTATTCTACTGAGCCATCTCCCCGGCCCCTAGAAGATGTTTATTTTTAAAGTATAGAAGTGTTAATATGACACACTCCAAATACAAGTTCACAGTATTACCAACATTAGCTATCAGGACAATGTCATAGGGGCCAGGGAGATAGCTCAGTGGAATAAGCACTTGCCTGGCAAGTGCAAGGGACTGAGATCAATCCCCAGTTCCAGAAAAAAAAAAAGTCATGTGCATGAAAGTTGAATAAAAAGACCTTGGGTGGCCGAACATCTACCTGTACAAAGGGAAGAAGAAGAATCATTTACGGTAGAGATAGCTATTAGCTCATCAAGATATTTTTCAACGTTTCCCAACGAACATTCCACGTGGTTATGGCTAGATGACTGCACTGTAGGCAAGAGAATGCAAATAGAACTGACATATGGTAAGTGTACAGAAAACAGATGTGTCTTCCCCAGGTCCTCTTTCCCTTTTTGCTAGCTAACTGGAGAGGATTTAGTGGCCTCAGATAAAGGCAGGTTCTCTAGGTGGAAGAAATCTGTGACCTCTGAATCATTACGAGGACAGCAGCCAACCGAGCCCCCACCATGAACTACAAGCAAGAAATACATTTTGTTTGTGCCAGGCATGATGGTGCATGTCTTCATTCCAACACTTAGGAGACTGAGGCAGAAGGACTGCTGTGAGCTCGAGGCCAGCATGGGTTCCACAGGAGTCTAGGCCCAGCCTGAACTACAGATGAGACTTTGTCTCAAAAAGTATTAGAGGGCTGGTGAGATGGATCAGTGGTCTAAAGCACCTACTTAGAATCAAGCTAAGCTAAGCAAAGCACAGGGACCGCGGTTCAATCCCCCAGCACCACATGCCAGCCAGCCCCGCCCCCTGGTGGGCTGAGCTGCCCCCACCACACACAATAAATAAATAAATAAATAAATAAATAAATAAATATTTTTAAAAAAAGTGTTAGAATCTGCTGGTTTATGGCAGCTAGCTCCACCCTAAAAATTCACTGTCCTCTGGGAATCATAAAGATCTCTTCTTCTGTAAAGGGTCAAATCGTAAGGATTTTAGGCCTTGTGGGCCATAGTCTCTATTCTTCTTGTCTCTTTTTCCATTTTGTGCTTTTTAAAAATGTATTTACTGCAGAGTCTACAGGGTCTCACTGCACAGATCGGACTTGTAGTGATCCTTCCTATTTTTAGCCCCCCAAGTGCTAGGATTACAGGTGCACGCCACCACACCCAGTCTCAATGGCCCTCTCAGTGCACCCCAGGGGTGAGGCCTGCATGCCAGGCAGGCCATGAATCCAACGCCCAGCCCCTGTATTTGCCTAAACAGGTGTTTTAATCCAATGAGCTATCTGGCTCGCCCTTGTCTTGTTTCTGAGAAGGTCATATTATGTAGTATGTAGAAGGTCATACTATGTAATCTAAGCTGGCCTTAAACTATGTAGCCCACCGAAGGTAGCTTCAAACTCACAATCTTCCTTAATCTTCTAACTGCTGGAATTACAAGTGCATGCAACCATGTCCAAATGTTCCTTCTTTTTTTTTTTAAAGATGACCTTTTTTTTTTTAGAAGAATCTTGCTGTGTACTTTAGGCTGGCCTTGAACCCACTATGCAGTCCAGGCTGTCCTCAAATTCATGGTGATCCTCCTGCCTCAGTCACCTGAGCCCTGAGATTACAGGTGTATGCCACTACACCAAGATAAAAATGACTCTTTAAAAAGGTAAAATCTATTCTTTGCTCACAGATCTTACAATAGAAGTGAGAGGCCATAATTTGCTGACCTATGATCTAGTTTAAGCACAACTTAAAAATTGTGCTTTCAAGGACTGTAGATTTGGGAGAGTCCGCCCATCTTCCCTTGTGCCAGTCAGTCTGGTGACTGGACAATGGAGGTGGTCTGTGGGCCCTGTGCGAGGTGCTGCTGCCACGGATGCCTGCTCTTGGAATGTTGATAGTAGGTGGATAAAAAAGAAAATTTAAAGGACAGGTAAAAAACTTGAAACACAAACTTGTACTGCAACTTCTGAGATTTCTTACCTGGCCTCTAAGTAGCGTCCAGTAACCAGCAAAAGACCTCTAAGTGCAATAAAAGTATCCCTTCCCCAACAGCGGAAAAGACCAGCAGAAAAATGAGGCAAGCCTAGCAGAAAAAACAACAAAATAACACATTAATCATGACCCATGCAAACCTATAAACAACATTAGTGCACAACAGTCACGCTAAACCTGGGGTAAAGGAACAGGTTACAAGGAGTTGGCAAACGTTTTTCTATTATCTGCAACATGCATGTCTACACTTAGATTCACTTGTATGGCATGAGGTTCTATAGTCCGATAAGAATAGTACAATTCCCTAAGGATTTTACCCCTTGTTTTTGTGGTGTTAGGAATCAAGCCCAGAGTATTACATGCTAGGTAAGCACTTTACTACTAGACTGTATACCACTAGCTTTGAAAACCTGTGCTACAAAAGGGAGACTTAACTGAATTGACTTGAATGTCTTTTTTCTTTGAGAAAAGGTCTTGCTATATAATTCCAGCTGGCCTTAAACCTGTATGTAGCCCACGCTGACCTTGCATTTGTGGTGCTCTTCTTGCCTTAACCTCCAGGGCTGGGATTACAGGTATGTACCACGATGCCCAGCTTTCAATATGTCTTTAAACACATAAAGTTATTTTTAGTAAATTAATCAGTAATCAAGTACATAACACATAAAGTAGCACAAATAATATTAACTATATACCTAAAAAGATTCTTTTTTTTTTTTTTTTTGTATTTTAGGGAAGGGTCTACAGGGTATTCAGGGTCTCACTACTAGATCAGACTCATAGTGATCCGCCTGTTTACTACAGC